TATCTTTTGGGGCTTTTTATTTTGATTTTTTGCAGTACTGGCTATTGAACCCAGGGGTGCTCTACCACTGAGCTAATGCCCAGCCTTTTTGATTTTTAATTTGAGACAAGGTCTTGCTAAGTTATCCAGGCTGGCCTCGAACTTGCCATCCTCCTGCTTCAGCCTCCTGAATTCCAGGTGTGTCTCACTGCTCCTGGCTGGCTGACCATACATTTTTTTTAATATTTATTTTTTAGTTTTTAGGTGGACACAATATCTTTATTTTACATTTATGTGGTTCTGAGAATCAAACCCAGTGCCTCACGCATGCTAGACAAGCGCACTACCACTTGAGCCACATCCCAGCCCTGACCATACATTTTAAAAGCCATTGTATTCAAGTATTTTAAATGATTTTTATGAGTTATAAGTTGCTTTTAGTGAGATGCATAGACTTTAAGGTTGCTGGTAGAGTTTTGACCAGATTCACTACCCAGGCAGCCCACTCCTCCATCAAGACAATACCTTTTATCCCTCCAAGAAGCTCCTCCATGCCCTCCCAGGTCAGTCCCCTATCGGCTCTGCACTCCATCCCATAAACACAACCACTGTTATGACTGTCATCTCCATAGAGGAGGTTTTCTTTTCTAGCACATCCCACAAGTGGAATTAAAGCACATGACTCTTGTGTCTGACTTTTCTCTGAGCATTATATTTTTTGTAACTCATCCATGTATCTGTATGAGTTGTCGTTTCTTCCACCTTTCCTTTTTATTGCTCATTAGTATACCACTGTATTGTACTAGAATCTTTCTGATGTTTATTGTTTTTCTTATTAATATAATAACAATAATACTTCATTGATTATGGTATAGCACCTACTTCTTCCTGCCAGTCCCCCAACCCCAGTACTGGAGATTGAACCCAAGGGCACTCTACCACTGATCCCCAGCCTTTTTTATTTTTTTGAAACAAGATCTCACTAAGTTGTTGAGGCTGACCTTGAACCTGCAATTCTCCTGCCTTAGCCTTTCAAGTAGCTGGGATTGCATACGTGAACCACTGCTCCTGGCTGGCATAGCACCTATTTCTAGCTATTCACTTCTATCATTCTTTTCTACATGCTCTCTGTTTCCTTTGCCTACTATTACAATAAGCCTTCCTGGGATGGATGAAAACCCATCTTGCCTGAAGGTTAATGGTACCTTGTGCCCCTAGAATTTAATTAATACAGGTACTTAAAGGACTAACAAAGAATAATTTTTTTGCCTTAGTTTTCGGGGGTGGGGGGAGAAGAATCACTTAGAATGCAAATAGATAAATTAAACTGCCCTTGCAAGTCCCTCTATTAATTTATCTTGTTAGATATTAATTTTAATCCCATAATAGTCCCTCAGCAATGCAGTTTGCTTTACACTTGAATACAATGTCTGAGTACCATCTACAAATTTTTCAGTACTGGAGCTGAAAAAGAACCTTGTGAAATGTAACTCAGAAAGCTGCCTCAGGGCTGGAGATATGGCTCAGTGATAGAGCTTTTGCCTAGCATGTGAGAGGCCCTGGGTTCAACCCCCACCACCACAGACACACAGTCACACACACACAATCTCATGGAGGGGCAAAGGCTGTTAGGCCATATTGGAATTTTGATAGCAAATCATCAATTTGCTTATTATTAAGGATATACTGTAGAGGAAAAGAAGTAAGGTGCCTGTATTAGGTTCAGAGAGCTGCTGTAACAAAGTATCCACAAAATGGGTGGCTTAAAATCATAGAAATTTATTGCCTCACAGTGTTGGCAACCACAGCTCCAAAATCAAGGTGTCAGCCTGGCCCCTGCTCTCTCTGAGACCTATACGGAAGACCTTCCTCACCTCTTCTGAGCTTATGGTGGTTTCCTGGTGATCTTAGGTGTTCCCTGACTATCAGCTGTGGAACTCCAGTCTGTGCCTTTGCCATTATACTGCAGTCACACTGTATCTGTCTCCATGTGGCTCTCTTCTTATAGGATGGCATCTTAACTATGTTGCAACGACCTATTTCCAAATAAAATCACAGTCTGGAGTTCTGCGGGTTAGGACTCTAACATGTCTTCTCAGGGATACAATTGAACTGACCACAGTGCCTGAGGAGGCTGGTGTCATGGACCTCTACTTTCCTCTGGTCAGTTGTATAGCGGGTAATGAGTGAGTTTTGGACATTGACCATATCCAGGACACGAAAGCCTGGTGTTTCAACAGAGGCCCATGCCCTGTGGTACCTGGGGCCTTGGATGGGCTCAATGTGCCCACAATCGGCCAGAGCAGTCCAGGCCAAGACAGTCTAGCATATACAATTCAAATTTGATTTGTTGGAGAACTACTCCAAGGATATGAAAATCTTGCAGTCCTTTAAACTTGTAGCATGTCCTTAGATCAAATTAAATTATTAGAAAGCTTTAGCTCTGTTCTACACTGTTTTACCACCTTGTACCAATGCTCCGCCTTGTTTCTGCCTTGGCATTGAGGAATGCTATAAGAAAAAGACAAAAGAACTTCATTATTATATTTATTATGGCAATGTGGTTAGAACCATCTTAAGTGATGATGATGATGATGATGATGATGATAATGATGGCAGTGATGATAGCCATCTAATTTCTTTTTGTTTTAGTATTTGCTTTTTTTTTTGGGGGGGGGGGGTTCTGTGCTAGCTAAGTGCTTTCCTTAATTATCCTATTGCATTATTATAACAACCCTGTAAGTTGATATGCCCTGTGAGTTGATATATTCCCAATATACAGGTGAGAAAAATGAAGGCCACACAGAGAGAAAGGATTGGTGACACAATTCAGGCCCAGGTCTTTCCCACACCAGTGCCTGTGCTTCTTTCCACTGGGCTTCTCACTGCAGCAGGGGCTGACCACTCCCTCTATCTTTAGCCTCTGGACAATGTACTCTCCCGGGTTTCCTTTTATCTCCAGGGCTGCTCCTTCTCAGTCATTCTTGATGGGTTTCCCTCTGCTGGACCTGTAGTGTCCGAGGTCTTGTCCTTATCCTCTGCTTTCTCCCTGGGTCATCTCATCATATACTGTCCACTTGCTGAGGCAACCTAAGTATATTACTTTAGACTTGCCTTTCAGGACTTGTCTTGTATAACTTTAATTTTTGACAACTCCACTTGGATGCCTAATGGACATCCCAAACTTCACATGTTGAAAATAGAACTTTCAAATCCCACCCACCCCCCACTACCACCCCAAATCTGATAGTCCTCCTCCAGTTTTCCCCATCTGGGGGTGAGTGATATCACTCTTCACCCAGATGCTCAAAGAAAATGATAGAGAGTTATACTTAATTCTTTTCTTTCCTCACCTCCCACATCAGCCCATCAGCAAGTTCTGTCGCCTTTGCTCCAAAACATGTGCTGAATCTGCCTGTTTATTTCCATCTGAGCTATTTCATTCTAGTCTAGCAACACTTCCCACTCCCAATCTTGGCCCAGACTCTCAACTGGTCTCTGCATCTCCCTACAGCAGCCCGAGTGATCTTTTTAATGTGCAGATCAGATCCCATGGCCCCATCTTCTTCCTTAAAACCTGGCGGTGGCTTCCTCCTTCCCTTAGAATAAAATGGAAACTTCTTATCCAGCTCAGAAGGGCTGCCTTGCCCAGACCCCAACCTGTGTCTCTAATTTTCCTTGCTTTTTTCTATCTTTAATTTTTATTATGGAAAAGTTTGAATATATGCAAAAGTAAACAAGTTATTATAAGGACACTTTGGCACACCTATCGGTAATTATTAACTCATCGTCAATATTATTTCTTCTTTACTTACTTCCTCCTCTCTGTGTTCTTTGATAATGTATTTCCAATATCATTTCATCTGGAAGTTATTTCAATTCTATCAGAGTAAACGTCTTAACAATTAAAATATAACCATAGTGCCATTATCATATCTAAAAATCTCAAGATGCCTTAATGTCGTTAAATATCAACTCAGTGTTCAAGTATCCAATTGTCTCATAAACCTCTATTTTTTCTTTCTTATTGTTTGATTCAGGATTCAAATAAGGTTTACACAATCATGATTACTGATATGTCTTTTTAATCTCTTAAACTACAGTCCCCCTCCATCTCTCTCTCTCTCTCTCTCTCTCTCTCTCTCTCTCTCTCTCTCTCTTTTAATACCCTTTGCAATTTATTGAAGCAACTAAGTCTTTTTTTTTTTTTCCTGTACTGGGAATCCAAGCCAGGGCCTTGCACATGCTAGGAAAGTACTCTACCTCTGAGATATATGCACATCCCTTAAATCATTTGTTAAATAGTGTTTCTTAGTCTGGATTTTGCCGATTGCAATCTTTTGGTATGTTTTAACATTTTCCTCTTCTATTTGCTATAATTTTTTTTTTTATCTGGAGGCTTGATTGGATTCAGATTTGATTTTTCTTTCCTTTTTTGAGGGTATGAGACTACTTTGTAGTTGATGGTATAACTTCTTGTACCACTCACCTGCATCCCACCAACTCAGCCACAGTGACCTCTGGTTCTTTCTAGAAGCTACTTGCAGCCTCAGAACCTTTGCAGTAACTGTTTCCTCTGCCTGTAACACTTTCCCTCCATCTTTGCATGGTCAGCTGCTTCATGTCATTCAGCTCTCAGCCTAAGTGTCACTCATTTGAGCAGCCCATCCAGGCCCTCTCTATCTGCTTTGTAGCACTTCTCACCACCAGGCATTTTGTGTAGGTGCTGGTGGGGATTGAACCCAGAGCCTCATGCATGCTAGCAAGTACTCCACTAACTACATTCCCCAGCCCACCACCAGGCACTTCATAGAATATTTATTTATTGGCTTGTTTACACTCTGCCTCCCCTTGAACCAGAACATCAACTCCACAAGGGCAAGAGCCTCATTCACGGTCACTGCTGTATCCTCAACATACGGTCTGAGCCACCGTAGTTACTCAGCAACTATATGCTGAATGAGCTGCCTCTGTGTTGGTGAGATGCTGCTTCTCAGTCACCTCACTCTCTCTGTTCTCAGGCAACCAAAGGAGGTACCATCAAAGCTGCATCAGGATTCAATGCTGTTGAGGATGCCCAGACCCTGCGGAAGGCCATGAAAGGGCTGGGTAAGTGTCCTGCAGGAGGTGAATCCTCCCTTGTGTGTTTATAGGAGAATCACATGGGAGGATGCCATTTGCACTGGCAACTGGGAATAGGTTTCCCCTTAGGAAAACACAGTGAGGCCTGGGATGTAGCTCAGTGGTAGAGCACTTGCCTAACATGTGCAAGGCCCTAAGTTCCATTCCCAGAACCACAGAAGTAAAAAAGAAAGAAAGACCACGGGAACAAGTTGGCTTTGTAAGACAAATCGGATGGTAGGGCATTAAAAAATTCTCCACTTAATACAGAATTTTAAATTTAATGCACTCATAATGGATTTCTCCAGTTGCTTAAAGCTGCTGTTTGAATTATACCATAAACCTCTGTATAAAATGTTATGTATTTGTTTTCCAATAAGTGCTGGTCTGTGTATAGTGCCATAGCTTTACCAAGCACTGCCACAAACGTTATCCCATTGGATAGATACAACAAACCTGTGACTTAGTGCAAACGGCTATTGTCATTTTAGCCCGATTTTACAGATAGAAAACAGACCCAGAGAAGCCTAATAACTCTCACCAAGTCACATAATAGGTGCAACTGAGCTTTGGCTGGCTTGCTAGATGTGGTTCCCAGCCTCCAGCTCAGGCCTGCCAATTCTAAGTCCCTTGAGTTCCTCTGCTTGGAACTGGGTGAATGGCATAGCCACAGCACCACCAGCATGAATACAAGGAATTTTAGGTAAGAAGGCTGGTCGTGTCTTCCATGACACCGTCCTTCATTTATCTCCACCACCCCCAGAGCCACAGGCCTTGCCCTGAATGAGCAGAGTCAGGTGGAGAGCACTGTAGCTACCCTGGCCTAGTTCCTGCTGCCAAGACCTTGTCAGGGCACACTTTGGGTCAGAGAAGTGTCCCTTGGTTCTTAGCTATTATTTAGAATCTCTTTGAGATTTGGGTGAAATCCCTCAACCATGGTATCTAATTTCTCAATCTTTCTATCCAAAAAAGAGTTTATTTGACTTAACTTTGATGCTACTAATATTAACAGCAGCATTAACAAGAACAGCAAATTAGGCTGTACCATGAGTGGAGCATAAATATAGATGTTTTATGTGGATTATTTCCTTTTAACCCTGAGAGCAGTTCACTTCACTTATGAGAGAGAGGCTGAGGTGTAGGGAGATTAGCTGACTTGCCCAAGGTCTCAGAACTAATATGTGATATAGTCAGGATTCCAGGAAATTCCAGGTAGGCAATCTCAGGCCATCTGACTTCATAGCTGGAGTCTAGGCCCCTGTGCTCTCCTGCTGACCCCCTCTGAGCAGAACATTGCTCTGAGTCTATGTGTTCTTCTCAGTTTCTTTTTTCTTTCTTTCTTTTTTTTTTCCTCTTCTTGCTCTTTTTTCTCTTTTTCCTCCAAGTGAAATAGAAAACATACTGGACTCACCTATTGTTTTCAGATTCATCTTAATTATTTGGTATATAACATGAATATAATTTAGAGAAAATATTATATAGCACTTGGGATTCTCAAAACAAGAGTGGAGACATTTGGCAAAATCAACCCTTTTCAGTGGTTGCCTTGTGTGTGCCAATGAGAGGTTGGACTGTTGAAGGAGGAAGGATTATAACACCTAGTCATGGTGGTCAATTAGTGCATGGACATCACTGAGCTAGGCACAAAAAGATCTATGTGGGGATGCTACTTAGAAAGAGCCACCTGTACATTAGCATCCACATACCAGAGAGAACATTCCACCTTTTGTTTTGGGGGATTACCTTATTTTGCTTAGCGTGATATTTTCCAGCTCTATCCACTTACCTGCAAATGCCATCATTTTATCCTTCTTTATGGCTGAGTAATATTCCATTGTACATATCTTTCTTTTACATTTTCTTTATCCAAATACACTCTACTGTCATGTATATTTAAAAAGAAAAAGTTAAAAAGTCACTTCAAAAAAAAACATTAAAAAAATAAATACCAAAAAAGAAAAGAAAAAGAAAGAAAGCCACAGACATGGCAGGTAACAACCAATTCCAGAGTCATGACCCTAAGTGCAAAGGGCGAGGGAGACATCTAAACTGACAGGAAGCTGGGAGAATAGGGTGCGGTGTGGGTAGGTGGAGTACAATAATCCAAGAGCTAAATCTGTGAATGCAGCTGTACCTGGTGTCCTTTCCTTTGGGAAAGGAGAATGAATGAAAGATTGAGGAGAGCTTCCAAGGCCAGCCACAATCCTATGGGAAATCCAGCCACCAGGGGGAGCCATTGTGTATTTCCAAGCAGACGAGGAACATGGTGAGCTTTTCCTTTTAGTAAAAAGAATCTGGCATGACTCTGATAAGACTAATTAGAGGGTAAAAATATTGGTTAGCATTTTACAGTTGTCTAGGAAGAAATCCTGAAGCCCTTAATTGGAGTGGTAGTGCTAAGAGTCAAAAAGAGATCATGGATGCAAAAAAAAAAAGGTTGTATTTTTTTTGCATGACTTGGCAGGAAATTTAAATATGGAGGTTGATAAAAAAAAAAAATCAAAGCTATTTTGAGAATACAAACTTGGCCAACTGGAGGAAGGGTGGTGTCTTTCACAGAAATAGGAGATGAGAAAAAGGTAAGGAAACTTCTTCCTAGCTGAGAGTTCTGAAAGAGAAAAAGATGGTTGTGTCTTTTTTTTTTTCTCTTTTTTTAACACCAACAGAAAGTAGGCCCCTATCTTATGTGAACTTAAATTTCTCTAGCTTTACTCCCCATACCTCACATTTTTCCAGATCTCTAATCTTGCAAAGAATAACTATGGTAAACCTATATGTTTTTCATTTCATTCCAAAATAGTTCGATAGAAACACTTTTATAAATACCATCACAACTTTCCATAAGGCATAAACAATGAGGAAGCAGAAAAGTTACTAAATGTTCAGCTGTTAAAAAGATGAGGGGCCAGTTTGAAAATTAGCATAAAGTCCCCTTATAAAAAGCAAAACTTGGAACATTTCTAATGTTAAGGTTGGTTAAGATATTGTATCATGGGAACTTGTCTTTAGTTTTAAAAAGGGAACCATTGGAGATGGAGAAAGATAGCTCGAATGAAATGACAAACACAATCACTGTTTTAAATCACATTGAATACCGTGTCAGCCAGTTTAAACTCTGAGAAACACCCCATCTGAGAAATTAAATACAAGTTTGAATTTCTTCAAAAGGCATAGGAAAAACAGAAGAGGCAAAACCCTAGAAGACAGCAGATCTGAAAGACAAGAAGAGAATCCCAGAGAAGAATTTTCCTAGTTGATGTTTATTGGATATTGAGTAGGTGCTGGGCTTTGTGCTAAGTTCTTCGCTTTAGCCTTTGCAGTAACTTGGTGAGGGAAGTCCTGTAATCATTCACGTTTATAGATAAGGAAACTAATGCTTAGAGAGGTTAACTATTCTGCTAATTAAAGAAGCTAAGACTTAAACTTCCATCTGTATTCCAATAAAATAGACAAACGCTCAGAACAAGGACTTTTTTTCCGAGTAAGCAGTCTTACTACTGTTGGGGTAACTCCAGTGTCTGCAGAGGAACCAATTTTCCAATTTCATTCTCAAATCAGTCACTAATTGTCACCATCTTATCCCCAGGCACTGATGAAGACGCCATCATTGGAGTCCTCGCCTACCGCAACACGGCCCAGCGCCAGGAAATCAGAACAGCCTACAAGAGCAACATTGGCAGGGTAGGTGCAGCCTCTCTGCTCTATTCCTGTGACAGGGGACTTGTCAGGCAGCAGGGAAGCAGGACCTCTCCCAGAGGCACATGTCTGAAGGACCCTTTGTTTTAAAAGATGGATCCTTCATCTTGTTTAAAGATGTTCTTGTGCTGGGCGCAGTGGCACAGGCCTGTATTCCCAGCGGCTTGGGAGGCTGAGGCAGGAGGATCGCCAGTTCAAAGCCAGCCTCAGCAACTTAGCGAGATCCTGTCTCTAAATAAAATATTAAAAATGGCTGGGGATGTGGCTCAGTGGTTAAGTGCCCCTGGGTGTAATCCCTGGTACTGAAAAAAAAAAAAAAAAAAGATGTTCTTGAAGACAGTGGTTACTGGAGTCTGGGAAGTCTGTGATGAAGGCAGAGATGAAGGCAGGATGGGTACCTGGAAAGAGCTGGAGAGGAGGGATAAATTTTAACGTTCTGTAGCACAGAAGGATAACTATGGTTATTAATTAATTGAATATTTCAAAATAACTAGTCAAGAATATTTTGAATGTTCCAAACACAAAGAAATAATAAATATCCGAGGTGATAGATAGGCCAGTTATACTGATTTGGTCATTACACATTATCTACATGAATTGAAATGTCACACTGTACCCCATATATATTCATAATTACTAAACATCAATTAAAAACACTTAATATTGCCTGGGTGCTCCTGTCTGCAATCTCATCTACTCAGGAGGCTGAGACAGGAGGATGGCAAATTGGAGGATTGCCTTGGTAACTTAGTGAGACTGTCTTGAAGTAAAAAAATAAAAGGAGTTGAGGATGTAGCTCAGTGGTAGAGCACTCCTGGGTTTAATTTCTAGCACTGGAAAAAAAAAGTGTTTTCAAAAAATTTTTTTAAAAAGATATTCTTGGTAAGATGGTGATGACATAGACATCATTACCCTAGGTATATGGGGTGTGGTACTATATCGTGTACAACCAGAGAAATGAAAAGCTGTGCTGCAATTGTGTACAATGAATCAAAATGCATTCTGCTATTATATATACCTAATTAAAATAAATAAATTTAAAAAATAAAATATAGACATTTATCATATCATTTGCTCAATAAATGATTGGAAAATAAAATACCAAAACAAAACAAAACAAAAAGATATTCTTGGTATTCTCTACCATGCTCATCAAGAAGTGACTTTAGGGTTGAGTCAGACCTCAAGGCCAATCTTGATCCTTTTAAACAAAGTCCTCGACACAGGGCCTGGGTCTATGGCCTCAATCACTGCCCTTCAGAGCATTAGGCAAGGCTGAGCTTCCAGAGATGGTTTCTTGGCCCTGCAGATGAAGACTTGCCAAACCGACTAAAATATTCAAACTGGGGTGTTTTAAATAGTCTCTTCTAGGACGTAGTATCCTGACTCTTCCACCTAAATCTATTTGCAGAATATGTTCATTCCTTCAATGAGACTCAGTTGAGGGACACCCTCTTAAGTTCTAAAACAGGGATGTATGTGTGTTCACATATGTAAATGTATGTATGTGTTGTAGCTGATGGATTGGGAGAGTGTTCACTCCCCACATTTTCTCCTTTTGATTTGAATCCCACATCTCTCAGGAACTCTCTAGTCTTTGTTTTCATTGACTCATGCACCAGAATCTTTTCCATCAAGTCTCGCCATCACTTTGGAACACCCATGAGTATGGTTATTGAGGAAACCACATCAATGAGTGTCTCCAGACCCCAGAGTAGAGAGACTCTATGGCAAGTTTGCCTGTCCTTGAGAGATTTCACAGCCAGGCAAACTGAGGCTCCTTCTCAAAGAAAGGCACCTCCCTGTTGGGTAGGGCTGTGCTGGCCCAGCTGCTCCCCACAGCATCTGCTTGCAAACTCTGGGTATCCCTGTAGGAATGGGGCATCCATGATCAGAGTGGCTCTATATTCTGGACATTTTAAGCTCTTCTCCTTTTCCAAAGAAATTGAATGAGCACTAATAGGCATGAATGTGCACACGACAAGTGAACTTGAGACCAAAGTGGTGTTGCCACACACATTCAGGGGTGACAGCCAACCTGATGGTAAATTTGTTAAGATGGCCAACATTAACAGATCAACCAAGCACTAATTTATTTATTCATTTATTCAGTGTGTTTGGATGTAGGGTAAAAATACCCCTAAGAGACTGGCATAAAATATAGTGGGACTGGGTTTGTGAGAATCAGATAGCTGGATTTGAATAGCAACTCAGTTTTCATTGTCAGTTGATCTGAAGCAGGTTCTTAAACTCCCTGACCTGTTCTAGAAGGAAATGATTTTAATGTCTTTAGAATTTGGTTCTCTGTCCAAATAATTACACTTCTTTTTAGAAAGCAAGCCTTAATAATCACAGATGATCACAAAGATACAACTCAGTATCTTCCGTATATAACAGTGGAAAAATATAAACTTGGAACGTAGTGCATGTGTAGGAACCTCTGCAGCTGTTAAAAATGCCATAGGCAAATACTGACTTGGAAATATATTCCTGATTTATCATTAAGTAAACAATGCATTTCGGTTAGTGTCTGAGAGTATTTCCATCTCAGAGCCTCCTCACACCCTTCAATTATTGAGTCCTTTTTAAATTTGTGTGAGTTATATCTATTGGCCATGTCAGAAATTTAAAAAAAATGACATTTTAAGATATACAACTAACTTATTGAAAATAGTGAATATATTACTTACTACTCTAACACTTTTATGAGAAATAACTATTCAAGAAATGTGGTGAGAAGATTGGCGTTATTTAACATTTTGCAAATCTCCTTAATGTCCAGCTCCATGAGAGGCCTGGATTCTCATATCTGCTTGAGGTATATGAAGAAAAATCTGCTTGTGTAGACAGGCAGTTCTAGGCAGTGGGGAGTACTTGAATAGCCTTTGACATAACTGTAGATTTATAGATTTGTAATCTTTTTCCTTTTTTGTGGTGCTGGGGATCGAACCCCGGGCATTGTGCATGCGAGGTGAGCACTCTATCAACTGAGCTATATCCCCTGCCCCTAGATAGTAATCTTAAGAAAACTCCATTGTACACTCTTGAGAGAATGACAATTAAAAGGCAAATAACGTCTTAGTGTGATTGTGAAGATGGTTTTGACCTTGCTTGCCTCCTGGAAGGATGTTGGAGACCCCAAACATCCGGGTCCACCCTTGGAGAATGGCTGATTTTTTTTACTGCTGCAGCTAAGCAGGGCTGCTTTCTCTCACTGCAGGACCTGATGGATGACTTGAAGTCAGAACTGAGCGGCAAGTTTGAGCAGGTCATCATTGGCATGATGACACCCACTGTGCTGTACGATGTGCAGGAGCTGCGAAAGGCCATGAAGGTTCGTGCTTCTCCCCTTGTGCCCTCAGAGCTGTTGGTACCAACACGGACCGGTATCTCAAGAAACTGAGGCCGAGCCCTTCTGAGAGTGGGAGGATAAAGTATAGGAGAAAGGTTTTCCCTCATTATGACAACTTAAAAATGTTTCAGCAATTTTAATTTTAAAATTGTTTTTCTAAAATGTTAGACAATCAGCCGGGCATGGAGGCACACACCTGTAATCCCAGCAACTTGGGAGGTGGAGGCAGGAGAAGCACAAGTTTGAGGCCAGCTTCAACAACTTAGCAAGGCCCTAAGTAACTTTGTGCCTGTCTTAAAAAAAAAACAAAAAAACTATATAAATATATATGTATATGTACATATATGTATATGCATACATAAATAAAAAGGGATGTGGCTCAATGGTAAAACATTCCTAGGTTATATCTCCAATACAAAAAAAAAAAGTGGGGGGATCATTTGATCCTTCCTGTGACCTAGTAGGAGTGATTTTAACTGCCTGTTTATCTGCAGTGGTGGGATTTAGCCCAGGGCCTCGTGGAGGCTAAGCATGTACTTGTACCAGAAGGCTGTGTTCCACCCCCAACAGATATTTGTGCTTTGGGTGCAGTTCTAGAAACTTTATTGTTGTGCTAGGTACTTTTGAGGCATGGAACTTTGTGACAGTTCTCTGCTTAGAACTGACAAAAGACTTCTTGGCCTCCTTAGAAGACCAGTCAATCTACTGCAGCCTAGCCCAGGACTACAGATTTTCAACAACTCTAGTATGAAAATACACTTGACCCTCTGCAGCCATCTCAATAAACACTTGGCCTTGTGGAAGGCTCAGGGTGAGGCTCTGGGAAAGCAAAAAAGGTAACAAAGTCTTTGCCAGAAGATTCTGCCTTCAGGGAAGAAAATAAAAGAGGTAAAGGAAAGATTAAGCCCGCAGAGGGCAGAAATAGTATCTATCCTGACACAGTAACCAACATATGGTAAACATTCTATAAATATTTGTTATTACTGATAATGATCTGGTAAAAACATTGGGTTTGGGGTATTTAAAAGATAACAAATCCTGTTGCTAGAACCCATGGGTTTGTATTTATCCTCTGCAGGTTCATAGCTGTATTCCTTCTGTGTTTGGGACACAATTTTTAATTTTTATTTTGCAGATAGACATGCAGTTAAAATCACTCATACTGGGTCACAGGAAGGACCAAATGATTCCCTTCTTTTTTAAAAATATATATTGGAGATATAACCCAGGGGTGTTTTAACTGATACATAAAAATATAAATATAAAATATAAATATAAAAATACAAACAAATTATACTTCAGCCTTGTAAACTGGCTCATACTTCCCTCTCCTCTGGTTTTCATATTTAGGGAGCCGGCACAGATGAAGGATGCCTGATTGAGATCCTGGCCTCCCGGACCCCAGAGGAGATCCGTCGCATCAACCAGGTTTACCAGCAGCGTATGTAACATCCTCAATGGCCCTGGCTGATGTTTTGCCCTGATTTAAGAAAGAGATTAGCAGCAAGTGGTTATCCAGTGGTTACACTCCTCTCTTGGACACACTGATCATGAGGAATCCAAACTCTCTTTTGAAGCAGACCCCTGTCTACGCAAATGACTAGCTATTGGCATCATTAAGACTTTTTAGGGAAGGACGCCACTCTGCTTAGGCTACCCCAGTGCAGTGTTTTTTTTTACCCTAAATGTTGGAAAGTTGTTCTTTATAACCAAGCAAAGAACCAAAGGTGGTTGTTCAAAATGCTGGCACCAGTTAGGCGTGTGGTAGTAGATTATAATCCCAGTGACTCAGGAGGCTGAGGCAGGAGGAACGCCAATTTATGGCCAACCTCAGCAAATTAGTGAGGTCCTAAGCAACTTAGTGAGACTCTGACTCAAAAAATAAAAAGAGCTGGGGACAAGACTCAGTGGTAAAGTGCCTCTGGGTTCAATCACTAGTTCAAAAAAAAAAAAAATGCTGATACCAGTGATTCTTAGCATTTTAAGCAATGGCCTAGAGGCACTCACTGGCCCAATTTCTGACCTCCAGCCTGGACTATATTTCCTCTATCCATCTCGGAATACTGGCCACTTATTCCCCTCTTAGAAACTTCCAGAAGACAATGTGTAGGAAAATTCTTTAAAAAAGTACTTGCCTCCCTCTTGATAGATTTATGTTTACGTTGGTGACATGCATTTGCCAAGATTCATGGAACTGTGCACTTAAAATTTTTACGTATCACTACATACATATTTTACCTCAACAACATGTAAAAACAAAGTGCCTGAGCATTTTCTTATTTTTTTTACTCTAAATAAATAAATTTACACTAAAAATTGTAATGCCAGTTGGCCCTAAAAATAGAAAAAAAAATTCACAAAGGATTAGATTCTGTTTATTCAGTATTTTTTTAAATATTTTTTTTTAGTTGTGGTTGGACACAATACCTTTATTTTATTTACTTATTTTTATGTGGTGCTGAGGATTGAACCCAGTGCCTCACGTGTGCTAGGCGAGTGTTCTACTGCTGAGCCACAACCCCAGTCCCTATTCAGTATTTTTTATATTAGCTAAACATGTCCAGTTGTTGTAGATTGCACCAGTTATAGTAGATTGGCTAAACAATATAGGGTACACTTACACAACGTATAGCATATCAATAAATCTTATATTGCAAAATTATTAGATCATATTAAGTGATGTGGTATACAGGTAAGTGAAAAAAGACAAGTCAAAAAATAATATGCTATGATACCATTTTTAAGAAAAGAAAATAATGCGTGTATGTAGGAGGAAAATTATAAAATATTTTTATCAAAAATGTGATGAGTGATTATGATTTCTGGGTGATTAGATTATGGTAGAGTTTCCTCCCCTCTGTTTTATTTTTTTTCCCCTAAATTCTCTCCAATCAACATGTATAACTTTTGTAGAAAGAAAACAGCACAGTAAGAGCTTGTGGAAATTCTAAACCTTGGGAGTTTGGAATTAGCACCCTGATCCCCGCTCTGCCCTGCAGAGGGTTGGAGCCCCTCCTGGGAGACCTCCCAGAACCTGTCCCCAAAAGGCTGCTCTAGATGCTTCCCTCTGTGATGTGGAGGCCATTCGCAGCAGCCAGTCAACCACTTTCCAAACAGAGCCCTGGACACTAGGAACCAGAAAAGGGTTTTGGCCCCCTCCTCAACTCCCCTCTTTTAAGGAACACAGATATCTCCTTTCTACTATAATAACTCTATCTTGATCATTTTACCAGAGTTTAGCTTTTAAAAACCTGTGTACAGGGGAGAAACCTTGACATGAGCTGCTTGGTAAATAAGCTATTCTTGGAGGGACAGACCTCCCCGGAAGGTGACACAAGGTGGGACAGGACACTTTATTCTTATGTAGCTAATCCTACTCTCTTGCTAGAATATGGACGGAGCCTTGAAGATGACATTTGCTCGGACACATCCTTCATGTTCCAGCGAGTGCTGGTGTCTCTGTCAGCTGTAAGTCTCCACCTCTGTCTTTGACTTCTGATGGGGGACAGGTTTCGTTGACATGTTCACTCTCCTTTCCCTTTGCCAGGCTTTATTCACAGGCCTCTTTGTTATTTCTCTTCCAGAGACCCTGGCTAGTCCTGTGTGCCCTTTTGTTCTACTCTATTTATATTTATGTTATCATAAAGGGATATGTCAGGTATACAAGTTGTTATAAGGCAAGAAAAAATTAAATACCAAAGAAGAGGCACATAGCAAGAGGAAGACTCAAGGAGACATTCTGGATGCAGAAACAGAGAAAAGCCTTCACAGCAGGGATGCTGGTTCAAAGATTTATAGGATCAGGGACTTCCAAGAGGAGGGTGGGTGCATTCCAGGAAGGAAGAACAGCAAGAACAACAAAAACAAGTCAAGGAGACAGGAAATACTGTGTGTTTAGGAGGTGATTGGCTGAATAGTCAGGCTGGCGGTTCTAGAAGGGAGCTGGAAGGATGGACTGTGAGTCCTACACTGGGAGGAGTGTTTTCCTTTGTCTGGAGAGTAGTAGGGAGTAGGTTTGGGAAAAGCAGCTGATGTGATGCTGATGGTGATGGGAGAGGGATGTGATTAGAATTGTGTTTTCTAAAAGAGGAATGTCATCGTAGCGTGTGGGATCAACAGGGGCAAAGAACTTGAGGCTGGGAGACCAGGTGGAAAGTTACATCTGTGTTCCGGATGAGACCTAAAGCAGGACTGGGCTAGGGTGGGAGCAGGGCGGCCAACAAGAGAAGACAAAGCTCTAGATACCTCACATGACCCCCAGCTTTGTCCCTGCCCTCCTTCCTGAGTATGAGGCTTGTGTTTTCCAGTGCTTTTTAGATGCTTCCTCTTGGGTATTCGACTATCACTTCAAATTGCTCCTAAACTAAACCCAAGCCAGGCATGATGGTGCATGCCTGTAATCCCAGCGGCTTGGGAGGCTGAGATAGGAGGATCACAGTTCAAAGCCAGCCTCAGCAACTGAGCAAAAGGCCCTAAGCAACTTAGTGACACCCCGTCTCTAAATAAAATATATTAAAAGAGCTGGGAATGTGGCTTAGTGGTTGAGTGCCCCTGGGTTCAATTCCCAATATCAAAAAACAAAACAAAAAACCTAAACCCAAAATAATTTTCTCTCCAAACTAACTCTTTCTCCTCACTCACTTGCCCCATTCTATTCATGCAACATCCTGAGCAGAACCCTAGAGATCATCTCCACCTTCCATTTCACCCTTGTCTCTGATATTTTACTTCCACAATATTTGCCTGTTTCTCTTATGTCCTTCCCATATTTTCCTTTCCTCCCATATTTGCCATCCTGAGGAACCATACTTAGACCACAGAATATTGAGGAAGCCCAGCACTAAAAAATAGTCTAAAAAACTTGAAGAGAGCAGCCTATTCTGTTGCTCTTTGGCATTCCTGGAGGCCTCCCCTCTGCCTCCCATGAGCTGGGGTTGTTGGTGTGAGTGTGTGAGATGTTTCCTGTGCTCCTCCAATCCCACCACAGGTTCCAGATTCTCTTGACTCTCCTCTGTTCCAACCCCTTTTTCACCAAAGTTGATAGGAATAGATTGAACAAGTTAGGCAGCGAATCAGCTGGGAAGACAGATGCAGTGGGAGGAGCTAGGGGAGGGAGGGGAGAGTAGAGGGAGCTGTCATTCTCTCATTGGCGCAGCATGGGGGCCACAATGGGGTACCTGATAACGCTGGCAACATTCTTTACACACAGATCAGAGCCACGGTAGCAGCGCAGGCATATTCAGAGGACATCTGTCCTGCCTCCCTAGTCCCGAAGTTGCAGCCTTGTAGTTACATTACTGTGTCCTTGGGTTCCTGAGCCTTCTATCTTCATTTTCCAGAATCTTCATGAATGCTCTCTCATTCTCTTTGGTTTGTTTTTCTCATCCTCAGGGTGGCAGGGATGAGGGGAATTTCCTGGATGATGCTCTCATGAAACAGGATGCCCAGGTGGGTAGAACTGCAGCTTCCTTCTCCCAGTTTTCATCTCTGCCAGTAAGACAATTCTGAGTCGGTGGACATCCTCTTCTGTTTCAGAGTATATTAGCCAGGCTAGGATAGATGATGAAAAAAAAAAAAGTGCCACAGATGACCTTTAATAGCAGAGGTTTTGTGCAGAAGTACTTGGGACTTGGGGGTGATACTGGACTTCATTATACCTGAACTCCTGGATCCTAGACTTCTTGACACTGGGTCATTGTGTGTCAAGCCCAGAGAATCACTGGGTATCTTCTGAATCACTTGAAGCTGGAAGGACCCACCTTTGTCTATTTACTTTGTATTTCTATTTCCCCAAAGAGGACATTCAGTAGGACTTGTGTAAAACAGTTTGGCACAGCATATATCCTGAGGGATAAAATTAATACCAAACCCCAAAAGGCAGATGATTCATTCCCTGGTACCAACCACCAAGACCAGATAACACTAAAAATAATAGCTCATAAAAGTGGCTTCTTCCCAGGTCCTTACACTGCCCTAGGATTTAACATTAAATATATCATCAAATCCTTGCAATGCCCTGGCAGTTGAGCATTGCAATCCTCATTTTATAGACAAGGAATTTGAGGCGCAGAGAAAAGATCCTATACTCTTTTTCTTTTTTTTTTTAGAGAGAGAGAGGCGAGGGAGGGAGGGAGGGAGAGAGAGAGAGAGAGAGAGAGAGAGAGAGAGAGAGAGAGAGAGAGAGAGAGAAATTTTTAATATTTATTTTTTCAGTTTTCGGTGGGCACAACATCTTTATTTTATTTTTATGTGGTGCTGAGGATCGAACCCAGCACCCGCACATGCCAGGCGAGTGCGTTACCGCTTGAGCCACATCCCCAGCCCTAGATCTTATACTCTTAACCAATACACAACCATAGTAAGAAATTGGTTCTACTCCAATGTGGTATGAACCACTATGGTTTATGCAGAAGAGAACCTGTTGCTTTCATTAGAGAGAGGGGGGTATGTGTGTGGCTTGGGCTTCTCAAAGTGTGGCTGCTGGGTTTCAAGAAGGGGCACCCCAAAAGCAATCATTCCCATAGAACCAGTAGAAGCTTCGTTATTATTTATACTTCAGCCTCAGAAATCAGTGTCACTTCCACTGTACTTTATTAATTGAAGTCGTGTATTAGGGATTTCCAAGAAACAGAACCAATAAGGTGCATAGGTACATGTGTGTGTGTGTGAATATACACATATTTATAGGTTTACATACATCCATATATTCCTTAATTCACAAGGGGATTGTGTCCCAGTGAACCTATTGCAAGTTGAAAATAAATTTTAAGTTGAAAATGCATTCAATACACTAAACCTACCAAACACCCTAGCTTAGCAACACATTCCACTATAGCGTATTGGTTGTTTATACTAATGATTTTGTGGCTGTCTGGGAGAGTTACTGCTGCAGCTGCTCAACTGCAGTAAAGTATACTGCTTATGGCCCAGGGGAGGATCAAAATTCAAAGTATAGTTTCTACTGAACACGTATCACTTTTGCACCATTTTAAAGTTGGAAAATCATAAGGCAAACCATTGTAAGCCAGGAACCCTCTATTAACAGAGAGAAAGGGAGGGGAGTGTGTGTGTGTGTGTGTGTGTTCCCTCTCCAACCAACAAAATTAAACAGCCAGATCAACTCTTTGAAGTTCTTGAAATATTTGCACATGTCCTGAAATGTCTTCTTTGGTGTTTCAAATTTGTGCTTTGTTTGGCTTCAGGACCTGTATGAGGCTGGAGAGCAGAGATGGGGGACAGATGAGGTGAAATTTCTATCTGTTCTCTGTTCCCGGAATCGAAATCATCTGTTGCATGGTAGGCACTTATCTCACTTCCCAAAGAAACTCTTTGAAAGACGGTGAAAACTGGCCCATAAATAATTGATAACCTTTTTCCCTTTGATGCAAAAAAAAACACAAGTGTACTGAACCATCTCAGGTTCTTACCTTGGAAATGTTATGAGTCCAATGACATGAATGAGGGCTAATTTCTGAAAAAATAATTATGAACAACTAATACATATGCAATGTATTTATAGAAATTTGGCATTCCTGTTCCTAGGAAAACAATCATCACAGCCATCCCTTTCTCTGAAGCAGCCCCAAGACTTCCATTTTTATTGAGTTATATAAGAAAATAATCTTTGTACATCAGGAAGAAATAAAATAGAAGTGTTCATTTATATTTATTCCTGTTTAACATCCATGCTGGGTACCTAAAAGAAGTGATTTCTCTAGAGGTTATGTTGCATAAGATGAAGAGTGGATAATTTCAAATTTTATTTCCTATGTGTGATGTTTCTAATTTGTTTCTGATAATTCTGAACTTCATAATGAGCTTTTAATGTCTGCAGGGGAAAGATTATAAAACTGTGGAGCATTTGTTGTCAGGGTTTTATATCCTTCTTGTAAACAGAAATAAGGATTTAATAGGATATTTCATCTTTTATGTAAACTTTTTGAGTCTTTACGTACATCATAATTTTACAAACCCACATACCCTTATCACACACACAGATTTACAAAACTTGTGGGGTTTGAGAGGAATGAGTTTGCTAAATTGAAAACAGAGTAATTGAAAAGTATAACACAGTTGTACTTTTTGAAGTTGTAATTATTACAGCTATTCTTCAGTGACAAAAAAAATAAGCAATTACTTCTCTTAATAAACATCATGGGCTACCATGAGATGCACCAACTCGTGGCTCAGCTACTCATTTCATTGCCTTCCATGGTCTGATTACAAATAACACAAATCTCCCCCTGGTGGTATTTTTCCAAAACTGCAGTTTCCTCTAAAGTTGATGTAGTGCATTTGTAAAAAATTTCCCTTCCAGGCACACAAGTCAATAGTTGGACGGTTATAAAATAACTGCTTGTAAGTCACTAAAAATGCTTGGGGTTTTTTTTTTTTTTGGTGGTACTAGGGATTGAACCCAGGATCTTGTGCATGCTAGGCAAGCACTCTACCAATTGAGCTATATCCCCAGCCCCCTAGAGAAAATACTTTAAGCACTATTTGGATAAAGAAAGCATCAGAAATTGCTTACCAACCAACAGTAATGGCATGCATACCTGTAATCCCAGCGGCTCAGGAGGCTGAGGCAGAAGGATCTGGAATTCGAAACTAGCCTCAGCAAAACTGAGGCGCTAAACAACTCAGTGAGACCCTCTCTAAATAAAACACACACACACACACACACACACATACACACACACACACACACGCGCGCGCGCGCGCGCGCGCATGGCCTGGGGATGTAGCTCAGTGGTTGAATATTCCTAAATTCAATCCCCAGTACCCGCCCTCACTGCCACCCCATAAAAAGTGTGTCAATTAGATTATTTGATTCCAAGCAACATATACTGACTCCAATTAAATAATATGGATTGGGGCCAGAAGGAAAATAGAAAATAATACAGGTGGCTCACAAAATTGAAGGGAGAGTTGAACAACTTGATGAAGAACAGAAATGAAGGCAGTTCTGGGAACCTCCCTAGAAATTAGTCATGGCTTTTATTTTTAAGGCACGATTTGCCAATGCATTAAAAAATGATGATTTTTGAACCCCTACTCAGATTGTATGAGTTGGAATCTCTGAGAGTGACACTCAAAAATTTGACAGGTTTGAGAAGTGATTCTTATGTTCTTTGAGGGTAAGATGACTTAGTGCTTTTGGCCATCCCCTTGATATGCTCAATTTAAAAATTCCCAGGAGGGCAAGTCTGATGGAGCTGACCAGATGAACTGCTCCCTTGTTTGGTTTTGGTTGAGGTTATGGTGTATGTTGTTGGGTATGGGTGTCCTTTCACTGACAGCCCATAAGAATCATATCCATAGGGGCAAGACAGCAAGCCAAAGAAGGTGATGTTAAGAGATCTGCTCTAAGAAGGCTCCAGAAGAAGACAGCAGGAGAGAAAGACATGTTTATCACATTCAAAAATACTTGGCAAAAAAGCAAGAAAAAAAGTTTTTAATTATGCTAAAATCTATTAAAAGATGCAACCGGCTGTTATCAACTGTGACTCAGTTTTGAAGAGGCTGAAGTGCTCTAGTTTTGATGAGCCAAAAGGAAGATGAACACACAGGTGATTGCCAAAGTCAGAATTACAAAGAGACACATTCTGCATATTAAGGAAGCAATGAGGAAAGAAAGCAAACATCTCCAGAGGTTGTCTCCATTTTAAATGTAAGGCAACAGGGTCCCAGAAAAGGAAAGGCACTTGCCTGATGTCCTCCAAGAATCATGGTGCTCTTTCCTCCTTGCCTTCAGCCATTCCACTGGGCCATCTCCCTACTGAATTCTCACCCACATTGTTAATTAGCTTCCCCTTGAAATATGCCAAAGAATAAATAGTGTAAACTAATTAAAAGATGCTCATTCTCTCCACAAGGTTTAGTTTCCTCTATTCTTTTTTATTGTTGATAATGTCATTTTGTTGTTGCTTGTAGTGTTTGATGAATACAAAAGGATATCACAGAAGGATATTGAAGAGAGTATTAAATCTGAGACATCTGGTCATTTTGAAGATGCTCTGCTGGCTATAGGTAAGCTGGTAGGGAGTGGGGAGAGGAGACACAAATGTCTATAGACTTTTCCTCTTGTTGCCAGTTTCTTGGGGATATAGAATTTTATTTTTCAGAAATTAAAGTTGTTTAAATCAATCATGGGGTGTTCCAGATTTTACCGGAATATTATATACAACCTGATTGCTATTGTTTTATGTGGTTTATATTTTTGATATCTTCTTTGATAGCTTTTATAATTCATTATGTGAAAGATAATTTTATACTAGATGTATCTTGCATGTCTGTGAATGGCTGGAACTAATAATTGTCTCATATTGTAAAGATCATAATCATTTTTGAAACTACATGCCACCTTTTGCTTTTGTGGCCTCTACTAATTACTTCTCTAGGACCTTTATGGTAAATTGAGAATGTTTGCCATCCCAGGAAATGCCTAGAGTGTAGCCTGTGTTCTTGAAACGTTAGGCTAGAAATTTCTCCATCAAAGTAATCAAGAGCTGTTTCTTGATACTTTGTAGAAACTGAGGGAACTAGCGTAAATTTCTCCATCAAAGTAATCAAGAGCTGTTTCTTGATACTTTGTAGAAACTGAGGGAACTAACGTCCGTTTCTTTCTCTTAGGTCATATATATATAATCATTTCATTTCTTTTTGTTTTTCTCTTGACAGTAAAATGCATGAGGAATAAATCTGCATATTTTGCTGAAAGGCTTTATAAATCTATGAAGGTAAATGGCCTTATTTTTTAACATCTCAATGATTTGGGCACATCTTGTGTCACCTTAGGTTTACTTATATTCCCCCAAATTTTAGCCTGAAATATTCAATTCAATTTGTATATACTTCACTGAGTGGTGCTACTAATAATACCAAGTGGTATTTATTGAGTAAATAACATCTCCAGAGGTTGTCTCCATTTTAAATGTGTGGATCACTGTCATTCCCCAGCCCCCACCCCACCTTCAGGTCCTGGGAATGAACCCAGGGCTTTGTGCTCTAGTAGTATGTAGCAGGCAAGAGCTTTACCACACTCCCAGCCCCCAATCACTGTTCTTTTTTTATGCTTATGTTAGTACATTATAGTTATACATAATAGTTGTGTTCATTTTGACATAATCCTACATGAATGAGATTTAATTTGCCCCATTTGAGTCCCTGGTGCCTCTTCTTTTCCTCTCCCCTCCTCATTCCTCTTTCTCTACCGATCTTCCTTCTATTTATTTCAAAATCACTATTCTTTTTTTAAAAATTTTTTTAGTTGAAGATAGACACAATATCTTTATTTTTATTTATTTGTTTTTTTATGTGGTGCTGAGGATCGAACCTGGGCCTCACATGTTTGAGGCAAACACTCTACCACTGAGCTACAACCCCAGCCCTCAAATCAGTATTCTTTTTTTTTTTTTTTAGTTGTAGTTGGACACAATACCTTTATTTTATTATGTGGTGCTGAGAATCGAACACAGGGCCCCACATGTGCTAGGTGAGCATTTTACCTCTGAGCCACAACCCCAGCCCCAGTATTCTTAATTCTTTATATGTACGGATTAATTTTATTTCCACAACTTTAGGGGGAAGGTACTATTATCAAAACCCCCCATTTTACAGATGAGGAAACTGAGGCACAGAGAGAATATGCAATTTGCCCAAGGTCCTCAGTGAGGAAGTAGTGAAGCAAGGATGCAAACTCTGCCAGTCTAGCTCCAGGGCCCATGCTCTTAACCCATGGATGCACCCATGCTGGGGTCCATGAGAGGTGCAGGAGAGATCAAAATGTAGCCCTTGCTCTCAAAGAACATCTGGCCTTATAGGGAGGCAAGTATGTGAAAAACATCAATAACACAGAACGAAAGACAGCAGTCGAAGGTCCAAATATTATAGGAACAGGGAGGAAAGGGTGGGATTTGTTTTTCAATATTTGTTTTTGTGGGGGAGGGGAGGATACAAAAAGAAAATATAAATAAATTGGGGACTGAGGGTAGAGCTCAGTGGTACAGCATATGACTCAGGTCCTCCTGCATTCCATTCCCAGCACCAAAAAAATAAAGTGGTGTATTTGAGCAGGACCTTTAGGAAAGTTTACATGGGAGAAAAGAGGACTCATGGAAGGTAAAGCAGACAGGCTGGGTCAGGACAGCACAGCATATGTCTCTAGAAGGCAAAGAGTAACTTTGGGTTTGAATATAGAGTATTGGAAAAGTAAATTGGGAGGTCCTTGAATCCCATGGTGAAGGCCCTCAAGACTGTGAAGCAAAGGACACCAAAGGAAAGTTACCCATCCCTTGCCTTGCCAGACAGGAGAAGAGCACTCTGAAAACCAGCTGGCCTTTCCTACTGAGGGATCTGTTTTCTTCCTTAGGGCTTGGGCACTGATGATGACACCCTCATCAGAGTGATGGTTTCTCGAGCAGAGATTGACATGCTGGACATCCGGGCAAATTTCAAGAGGCTCTATGGAAAGTCTCTGTATTCTTTTATCAAGGTGGGTCACAGCAGCCTTGCCTTGGCCCAGGGGAAAGTGCCATAGAAGGAATGGGGCCTCTGATCTCAGCATTTAGAACTCCAGGTCCCCTTTTTCTTGGCATCTGTCATTTCCCATACAAATGGGCCTCCACTTGAGATATTTCCAGACTCTCTTCTTTCACACACATCTTTAAACCTTTGCCAGGTTATAAGCTGGTAATTTTTGCCTTGTAAATCAGTAATGAGTTCACATTGACCCCAGAGAAAAGAAGTTTACATTTTATTGAATACCTTTAAGAGCATGATTTCCATGTCTTCCTAATAAATGATAAGAGAAGCAACTGAATCCAGAATCCTGTGCAGGGTAAGCTGAAGTCTGCTGGTAATATGGGGAAACATAAGTTTTCCTAGATTGCTATTATTTACCTGATACCAGACATCTAGGAGTCCTAAGATGACATGGGAGTGATGAGTAAATGATTCACATCCCTCAAAACCCCTCATTAGTGGGTTTTGCTTCTTGAGGAAGCCAGAAGAATCTCGTAAACACAAAGCTGAGACTCGTTTTCCTGGAAGCTGTGGTTGCTTAACAAACTTCACATCAGGATTTGATCTGTGAATTAAACGTTCTGAAAAATAAAGGATACATTGCCCACTGGGTAACAGCTTGTCAAAAGAAGCAGAGTAGCATATGTAAATAATAGAAAAAATGACCACAGATAAAAATGTAAGTTATAATAATAAAAATAAACTCTCAGGTTAAGTAAAAACATGAACTCCAATTTCATGTTGCTTATAAGGAATAGCTAAAATACAGGGGTATGTAAAAAAGTTTATGGAACATGGCCAGGGAAAAGAACATGTGACAAATACAAAAAAAGAAAGCAGGTTCACAGTATTATCGAAGAGAATAATTGATATTTTTAAATTTGGAACTATATAGGTAGAGATTATATTTGTTTCCATGTCTATGAAGGACAGACACAAATTTATTGGGTCAGGGGGTGTAGTTCAGTGTATGTACAAGGCCCTGGAGTCAGTCCTCAATACCATCCCCCCCCACACACACACAATGCAGGATACAAAAGAATACTACTATCCCATCACAAAGGTATCTTATATGCATAGAAAAAAAGACAGGAAACATATTCACACATCAAAATGTTAACATTAGTGATCTATAGATGGTAGAACTGTGGGTGATTTTTATGTTGTTCTTCTATGTCTTTATTCTCTACATTGAACAAGTATTACTTTTGTAATTAAGAAAAAAAATCTTTTAAGAGCTGAGAAAAATCCAACCAAGCTTGAAGTTAACTTAGATGACCGTGATCTGTGTATTCTACTTAAAAACCCACTTATCTGACTGTAACTTTGCTTCCTTGGCCCCCAGGGTGACACATCCGGAGACTACAGGAAAGTACTGCTCATTCTCTGTGGAGGAGATGATTAAAATAAAGTCCCAGGAGGATTTTCTTCTCAACACTGAAAATTTTTTTTAAGTTCATTTTTCTACACTGCTATTAGCATTAACTCAGAATGCTTATTTCCAATTAAGACGCCTACAGTTGCCTCCTAGGATATAAACTGTCTGTATTATTATCATCTATAATTAGTCATTATGATGCATTAAAGCTGTACTTGTAGTTCAAAGCTTGTAAGTTCTAAATGGAGATTTAAAATTAGAAATTAAAATGTGCTCTGTGTTTCTAACAGATTTATGTTTCACAGAAATTGAATACATTAAATTATTTCATATTTTCTTTTCAGTAAAAACTTTTAAAATGGGATACTGGAAGACCATTCTAAAATCACTTTCTTCCCTAATCCTACTTTTAAAGAGGATGGTAATTTCTTCATTTGAAATTGTGAGCATCTAGCTAGTAAAATCCATCCAGTTTTCTATTTTGTGTGGTCATCAATGGAAAGCACCCATAAATCTCCTTTTTTGGGTTTTGTTTGTAGCATTTGTTGATCTTTACTATTTGTCATAGGGGGCTTCCTTTATCTCATGTTGAGAACACTTTTCAAGGTTGAAGTGCACCAAATCACCAACTCATTTAAATAAACTAAAATCCAAGTGTGATTGTACAGGTCATATATGTCTTGTTACCAAAGATAAATGCTGAACATTCCACAATATAATAGTTAAGGTCTTCATCTAGATTAAAAGTGAATGGAGAAAAAAAAGCAAGCTTCAAATAAGGTAATTCTGGTAAGGGTGTAATGCTCTGAATTTTGTTTGACTTAAAGAAATCTGTGCTGTAAATAAATTCTTAAATCTTTTTTGATTTTGTTAATCCATAGCAATTTACATGTGCATTGTGCTTTTTCAGCCCTATAATCATTCTGAAAGTGTGCTTGGACTTAACTAAAACGTTCAGTTTGTATACAACATGGAAAGATAATTTTAATAAAAAATGATGACTTTAAAATGAGGTATATTCTTTCTCTACTGAACTTTTCCACTTCTGAGATTTTTCATGCTGGACTATGAAAGGAGTTATTTTTGAAGGAGTTGTGATACTTAGTTCCTATTAGGGATTACAATTTAGGGGAAAAATAACATATTTAATCTTATATTTGCCTACTGCTATAAAACTAATGCTTACATATGCCAAACACTACTGAATGATATTAAACTTACAAACTTATTCTCTGGAAATGAACATGTTCTTGTTCTACTAAGTAAAACATTTATATTAAATGTTATATTGGGTGGACTGGAGGTGGAGCTCAATAGTATAGGGTTTGCCCACCATATGCGAGGCCCTGGGTTCAATCCCCAGTCCTACCAAAAAAAAAAAAAAATCCTTGACTGGGCGCAGTGGCACATGCCTGAATCCCAGCGTTTGGGAGGCTGAGATAAAGTTCAAAGTCAGCCTTGGCACCTTAGGCCCTAAGCAACTCAGCAAGATCCTGTCTCTAAATAAAAAAGACCTGAGGATATGGCTTAGTGGCTAAGTGCCCCTGGGTTTAATCCCTGGTACCACAAAAAAAAAAAAAAAGAAAGAAAAATCCTTAACTTAAATTTTATATAGGGGCTATGGGTGTAGCTCAGTTGTGTAGCATGTGCCAGACTCTGGGTTCAATCCCCAGCAACAACCAAAAGCTTACAGATGTATGAGGAACACTTATATTCTTATTATGATAAGAATACATGCCTTCTTTTCCATTCTATTTATTGATGGATTGGGGTAAAATATTAAGGATTTGCCTTTCAGTTTAGTGCTACTTATCTATTATAAGTGCTGGGGCTATTGTTGAAAGCTACTTATGTGAGTACTTAGTCATTCCAGTTAACTATAGGAAATAATACTTCCATGTCAATACCTACCCAGAAGACCATGGAATTTCCAAATCAAACTTATTTCACTTTGGAAGCATTGTGAGGGTTTGTTTTTGTTTTTGTTTTTGTTTTTGTTGTTGTTTATTTTGGTAGAATTTTAATCTTTAAATGATACATGGCTTAGCCAGAATTTTTTAACAAATTGCATTTATTGACCAGAATCTTTCTAGAAGGCAAGATAAAGCCACCCTGGAGGAATGGTTATTTGTTATAGTGAAGAAGCATGACTTTGAGATATAATTATGAAGCAAATTTGTTTCTCTTTCCTGCTTGTGCATTTTCATTTATTCAATGAGCCTAGTTCTTCTCTTGTCTTTAGATGTCAGTTCTGATAGAAGATAGGGTCATGACTTTTCTGCTCACTCTTAGGTTTTAAATAATCTGTGTAGTCCCTTAAGGTAACAAAAAGTATCATTTCAGTAATTAATATATCTAGTCAAAATTCCAAACTTGATTTACAGTTGGCTTCTTCCCTCATTCACTTCTGGCCTACTGCCAGTGAGATGCCACCTTTTGGGGGAAGGGGAGAGGGTAGAGTTCTTTCTCCACCAAGGCTTCCTTACATTTTTCCCCTTTTCCACCAGCCTACCTTTCCTGAGTTTTAGCAGCAGGGAGTAACTGGAGCAAGAAAGTAAGAAGTTACTTACCTGGCTGTTTGTGGCATGGTAAAAGAGAATCAGCCTTGTGTAATCTTGGCAGATGTTCAAAGTTGATTCTTAAAAAAAAAAAAATATATATATATATATATATATATATATATATATATATATATATTAGTTGTAGTTGGACACAATACCTTTATTTTATTTATTCATTTTTATGAGGTGCTGAACCCAAGGCCTCGCACATGCTAGGCCAGCGCTCTACCACTGAGCCACAACCCAGCACCTCAAAGCTGATTCTTGTGGGTTCCCTTGTCAAACCTATCACCACAGAAACCACCCTGGGGTTCCTCTAGGAAGGTAAATGCAGTTCTTTTTCAGCCTTTCTGAATTTGGTGATGACTTTAGGTTTTTTGGGATGAAGTTAATTTGCCTTTGCATCCAGGTCTCTTGGAAGGGATATAGGATGACACCATAGTGGCTGTCTCATGATGGCCCACATCTGTTCCATGGGAAACACTTGCACATTTATGCTAACAAATTTATGCTAACAAATTCTGTGCGTTCAAGCTGGTACTATTGCAGCCATCATTCTCTGCCTCCCACTTCCATCCCAAGCTGCCTCAGCTAGGTTCTCCAGTTCAGATTTCTCAGGAATGAATCAGATACCAGTCCACTGGGACCCCCAAACTACACGTGCTGCCAAGGGGAATATAAATTGGTGCATTGGTGCAATCAATTGAGAGCAACTTCAACAATAGCTGGTAGAGTTGAAGACTTCCCAGCAAACCCCCTGTTGGGAGATCTACATGATGAATCTCTTGCACATAATGTTCATTTTTGCTCTGTTAGAGAATTAGAAATAATCTGAGTCACTAAGAGAGTGGATAAACAAATTATGGGTCAGTCTTACTATGAGCAGAGAAAAATGATCTAGAGATTTAATCAAAAGTATCATTTTGAGAGAGGAGAAAGGTTCAGAATGATGGGTATTATATGATTTCCTTTAATTATATGTCTAAATGTGCAAAATACATTGTTTATGGTGTGCATGCAAGGATATGCATGGGAGTAATGATATTACACCATTCTCATGACAGTGATCACCACTGGGAATGGAAATGTAGATGGAAAGTGGGTACACAGGGAACTTCATATTTTTATTGTCCTATTTTAAAAGAACAAATCATCAGTTATATATCAATAAAGCTGGGTGGAGGGTTAGAATAAATCAACTACCACAAAAAAAATTTCAAGTCAGTGGCGGGGCGGGGGTGGGGGTGTCCACAGGTGTTCACATTACTCTATTAGATTTCATTATAAATATTTTACTTAAAAAGTAGCGTAAGTTGCCAGGCACGACGGCCCACACCTGGGATCCCAGTGACTTGGGAGGCCGAGGCAGGAGGATTGCAGGTTTGAGGCCAGTCTGGATAACAAAGTTGGGCTACCTGCTAAGTAAAAAGTCTGGGGATGTATCCCAGTGGCAAAGCACCCTTGGATTCAGCCCCCAATACAAAAAGGGCAAAGAGTGGGGTTGGGGTGGCAGAAAGAGAGGCAGCAACCAAAAGCTAGCTGTCCAATCTATTGCAAAAAGTGCTATCCCACGCAGACACCTGTTAATTTTGCTAGGGCCTCCTGAAGGTATTTTTAAATTCTGACAAAGTTTCAGACGTCCCACTGGTGCTGGGAGTAAAGGAAAAGAGTGCAGAGGGCTGGGAATGTAGCTCCAAGGTAGAATGAGTGCGTAGCATCTATGAGGCCCTGGGTTTAAAGGGCAAGGAGGAGAGGGGAGTGCAGGAAACGTTTGCCACAACCCAGGGCTGAAGAAACTCGGGCGATCCACGTAGTTCCTCCTTCAAAGTGCTCTTCTCACAGGAAATCATGCCCCAAACCTGCAGGGTCGGACCCCAGGAAGTGAGAGCTCCTTCGAGAAGCCTGAACAGAAGGTGTTCTTGCTTCTCGTCTTGCACAAGGCCCAGTAATTATCTGCAGCCCAAAGGACTTTGTAGAAAGAATGAATGACTTCTGATGCAAAAGACGTTTGTGAACTACAGCGAACAACGACACAGCCCTACAGTGCACGTTAGCAAAAACACCAGGTCAACCGCAGGCTAGGAAGCCCTCCGCCGTACCCGCGCGTTCCGTCCTGCGCAGGCTCCCGCAGCCACGCACTCGCGGTTCCTCGCCCCTTCCGGAGGCTCGTCGCGCGCTTGCGCCGAACGGTCCGCGCTTTGTTGCTATAGGCGGAGGCGGGGGAGGGGGCGAGGTTCTGCGGTCTCGGCGCGCTGCGCGGCTGGACGCGGCGGGCGGGGCCGAGGACGGAGGCGGTAGCGTCCTCTTCAACCGTTGGGGCTGCGCGTGAGAAGGTGGCTGTGTAGGCACCTGGGCTGGGAGGAGGCCGGCAGCGGCCGGGCCATGGCGGGAGACCCTCTCCTGTGGGTGTCCTGAAGCGTGCTCCCTGAAGGACCAGGGAGCGCTATTCCATGGGCTCGCTTAGCAGCCGAGTGCTGCGCCACCCTGGGCTAGCCCGAGCTCCACAGGAGCCCGGTCCCGGAGTGGGGGGCTCTGCCCGGAGGCCGGAGACTGGCGGCGACGCGGCTGGCCACAGCTTCTGTTACTGCCCGGGTAGCCGCAAACGCAAGCGGAGTAGCGGGGCCTTCTGCTACTGTCACCCTGACTCCGAGACAGACGAGGATGAGGATGAAGGCGACGAGCAGCAGAGGCTCCTCAACACTCCTCGAAGGTACGTGGAGGGGCGCTCCCCAGCTGACCCACACCCGCACCTGCACCTGTTGGGCCTGGGGTGGAGCCGGCGTCCAGTGTCCTGGCTGGATGCGGCGTCCCCCCGCCAGTAAAGAGTGGATGTGCCCTTGACCGAGTAAATGAACGAGCCCTGCTACAAGGCAGATCCGGGAGACGCCTCATGTTCTGCCTTGTAAACCACTGACGCTGCCGGGGTGTTGTTTCAGCCTCAGGATGAGACTGAGGAACGCCAGCTAGAGCTTGCCTCTCTTTCAACGCTGGAGAACGACCGACCGACTGGCTGGCCTTCCGTAGTACACCTCTGAGCGGTTACCGCAGAATAAATTGTTTTGCATCCGGTTGCCAAAATAGTATACAGGCGTAAATTTGATGCCCAAGATGGGCACCTTTATTGTCGCTCATTCAGTAAAGAGGAAGTAATTGCGCCCAGTTCTCCTTATGTATAAACCTGAAGTTTATCAAATAGTGTGCCTTTATTCCTAATAGGGAACAAAGTCTTTCAAAGTCTGTAGTAGACGAAATCGTTGACCGCGGATCTGTCAAGCTGTGTGCTGCAGAGAGCGTGCTTACCTTTTTTTTTTTGGAAAAGTTGGAAAACAAAATATTTGCTTGTGAACTAGAATGTAATTTATAAGTAGAATATTTCTTCACCTAACAATTTTTAAGGTCATTGGCGGAATCAATAGATGTATTTTTTTTAAATGAACTTTAAAAATGA